AGAATGGTGATATGATAAAGGACTGTGATATAATAAAGGAAGCCCTTGAGTCCTTTTGCAACATTTCAGGACAGAAAGTTAGTCTAGCTAAGTCTAGGGTGTTTTTCTCTCCTAATATCTGTAGAAGTAAAGCTAGACACCTAAGCAGAAGAAGTGGTCTCACTAGAACCGAAGACTTAGGCAAATATTTAGGTATCCCAATTCTTCATCATAGATCAAATAAGGATATCTACAGATTCCTTATTGAAAAAATCCAAACTAAGCTTAGTGGATGGAAGGCAAAAAACCTTTTCCTGGTAGGGAGGGAAATACTCATCAAAGCTATCACATCCACCTTCCCAAATTATACTATGCAAACCACGTGGCTACCCCAATCCATATGTGACAAAATTGACCAACTCAATAGAAATTTCTTGTGGGGAGATACTGAAGAAAAGAAAAAGGTCCACCTCATCAATTGTGACATTGTATGCAAACCTAAAGAGAAAGGAGAGGTAGGCTTTAGAAAAACAAGAGTTAACAACCTAGCTATCCTCTCTAAATTAGGATGGAATATCAAGGCTAACAAAGAGAACTTGTGGACTAGAGTCATTAAGGAAAAATTCATCAAAATTACCTCCTTATATTGGAAACATAATTCCAGTGGCTCCCCAATGTGGAGAGTTATTCTCAAAACAAATCATATTATCAAAGAAGGAACTAAATGGCTCATCGGTGCTGGTAAAAATATTTCTTTGTGGACTGATTGGTGGTGTGGAAAAACTTCTATTGTCAACAGAATGCAGCTACCAGCCACAGTTAACCCCAACACCCCAGTGCCACTCTTCATCAACTCCTCAGGTTACTAGAACTCGAATCTCCCAGGTATGCTTCTTTCCCCTAACATCTTCTCAGATATTCAGCTCATCTGTATCCCTAATAATTGCGATATGAAGGATACTCCATGTTGGGGAATTTCAAGTAATGGTAATTTCTCGGTTAGTTCCACGTATAAATGGATCTCTGATTCTGGAGAGGATAATAACCCTTCGACCCTAAACTGGGACTGGATTTGGCACATGAAAATCCCGCAGAAACTCAAGTTCTTCCTCTGGATTGTCCAAAGTGACAGAATTCTTTCCAACAATCTTAGAGCTACCAGAAATATGATTGATGATCCAACCTGTGGGAGATGTAAAACCCACTGTGAATCCACCTTGCATATCCTAAGGGATTACTCCATAGCTCAGGCAGTTTAGAGAGTTTTTCTAGATAACAACTGGTCCAGTTTCTAGGCTGATAATGACCTGCAAAAATGGCTTATTGCTAATCACAAAAACAAGAGAAAAGAAAAATGGAAAGGAGTGGAACGCCTATAGTTTTTACCTCGGCCAACTAGCACATCTGAAAGAACAGGAACAAGGAGTGCTTTAAACAAACTCAACACCCCCCCCCCCAAGTGTCACTACCAGAAACGCTTGGCTTATGGCCCAAGAGATTAATTTTTCTTTCCTTAATAATATAAACTGTGATGATACTTACACAAAAAACCTCATTAGTTGGTTTTTCCCTCCCACAGGATGGATGAAACTAAATGTTGATGGATGCTCCGAAGGGAATCCTAGACCTGCAGCGTTTGGAGGTCTCGTGAGAAGTGGCCAAGGAGTTTGGAAGCTGGGTTTCTATGGAAGACTTCCTAACTGCACAAATGTACAATCTGGACTATAGGCCATTTATAAGGGCCTTTAGATTACTCAGTCCAAGGGGATGAAGAAGATCATAGTGGAGACCAACTCTCTAGATGCTAATAGACTCCTTACGACAAGGCTGGAAGCTACACACCTGGAAAGATGGATCATCTTTGAGTGCAAAAGGCTCCTCACCCTGCTCAATTACCCCATCCACCACACCAAAAGAGATNTACGACAAGGCTGGAAGCTACACACCTGGAAAGATGGATCATCTTTGAGTGCAAAAGCCTCCTCACCCTGCTCAATTACCCCATCCACCACACCAAAAGAGACGGGAATTTCTGTTCAAATAACCTTGCTAATTTGGGTGTCAAACATAATGAGGGTTTAGTGCTCCTCAACGCCTCACCTTGCTCATTGGGAGAGCTTTTGAGAAACGATAGTGCTTGTATCACCTATGTGAAAGGCTTTTGATTATTTTTGACTTTTCCATTGTATCGAAAAAAAAGGTGAGTTTCAATGTCTTTGGTGGTATTAATACATATGTCCATCAATGTATGTGGATTTTCCATATCCTCATTTAACTTCTCATACTCGAAAGTCCATGTCATCACGTCGCCTCCATCCTTTGTATCAACATGAACAAGTATATTGAATGTTAAGATGTATCTTGCAACCTACATGTATATTGAAAATATGAAGTATATGTATGGAAAATTATTTCAAAGGACTAAGTTATATTGTCTTTGTTTTATCTATCATAAATATACAAAGGTTGAAATTATAGCCAACATTAGTGGTATCAGAGCTAGTTCGACACTAACTAGCTGGATGTGAAAATTTTCATTGGATAAACAAAGTCCTAGTTAAGAAGATCGAAATGGCAAGTGAAATCAACATATCTACCAATGCATAACAATCACCTTTTCTCGTCTTTGATGGTGAAAATTATGATTATTGGTGTGTGAAAATGAAAATTACNATCAACATATCTACCAATGCATAACAATCACCTTTTCTCGTCTTTGATGGTGAAAATTATGATTATTGGTGTGTGAAAATGAAAATTACATTTCTCTCTTGTGATCTTTGGGATTTGATTGAAATTGGATATGAAGATTAAAGGAACCAATTAAAGGAAAACAAGAAGAAGGATGCAAAGAGTTTTCACTTGATTCAACAAGGAGTAATAGATATCATTTGTTGAGATGTTCTCTTTAATGAGAAGGACTCTTGGAATTGGAAAGAAAAGAATGTGCAAAATCAAGTGTTCCTTGAATATATCTCAACACTCTCTTTGCTGCCCCAAAATGAATTTGGCTTAATTTGTGCATAAATCGAGATAATAAACTTATAGAAAATGACTCTTATGGAAGCTTTGAGCATGAAAATAAAATGAAGAAGTTGAAGTTCCACCACAAATGTCTCTAACACCCAACTGTCCTTCATCTCCTTCTACTTCCACAAGTTTAAGCATTTTATCTCCAAGTTTAACTCTAAGAAAAATGAGAAGTCTTAGTGATGTGTATGCTAAATGCAATTTTTGTGTGATTGAACCTGAAAGTTTTGAAGAAAAAATCAAATAAGATGCTTGGAAAAAAGCAATAAAAGATAAAATTTGTGTGATTGAGAAAAATAACACTTGGGAGTTGGTGGCAAAACAAAAGAATAAAGAGGTCATTGGGGTGAAGTGGATTTACAATACAAAACTTAATTCGGATGGTTCAATTCAAACAAATAAAGCAAGGCTTGTAGCAAAAGGGTATTCACAACAACCCGATGTCAATTACCGAGAGACTTTTGCTCTGGTTGCTCGACTTGATACAATAAGGTTTCTTATTTCTCTTGCTTCACAAAGGAACTATTCTCTTTATCAATTTGATGTAAAATCAACATTCTTAAATGGTGTGTTGAAAGAGGAAGTTTATGTAGAGAAACCTCAAGATGACAAAGCAGTGATTTCCTTGGCTTCGGTTAGTCGTTTACACACACACACACACAGAGAAAGAGAGAGAGGATATGGAGAAAACAGGGCCTAAGTGAAAGACTTTTATACTTTAACAAAAAAAAATATATTTTGATGCTAAGGAAGTTCGATGGGTGGACCTCATTAAAGAGGATGAGCTTTTTCCGTTGTTTTCTATTTTAGCCTCAAAACTCAGAAAATAAGCCAGACTTGTTTTTTATTTCTTTGCTCCAAATCTCATTTTTTCCCAAAAATTTGAGAACAAAAAATTGTTTTCCAAAATTAAACCAAACATGCCCTAAATTTTTTGTACTCATGAATTGTTGTTATGCTATGCAAAATTGCACATTTTACACTTGCTTAATTAATGGAATTTTTCTTAGATATGAAAATATTGCTATATTTTTAGAAATGTTAGTCATATTTCCTTGTATTTATCTGTATATTGAATTGTGTAGGTGTAAGGACGTATACCTTTAAATTTATGTGACGAAAATGTATATATGCACAAGACATATAACATTGGTTACCAACAATACATAATACATATTTTTTTTTTAAAAAAGTTAGTTTTTTGTGGCGGCATTGTTGTCGTTGTAAAGACATTTCATTTAATGTAAATAAGAAAAATTGCTAATTTTTGAGATGGCATATTAATCATCACAACAAAGTCTTCTATTTTTTTACAATTGCCAAAATGGTATTTGAGGCTGCACTTTTACCATTGTGACAAAAACAAAAGTGTCGATTTTTTGTGAAGTCTTATTTGCAATAGAGTATTGCTACTGTAAATACTATTTGAAAAGTAATGTTGCCACCATAAAATTTTTTAGAGGTTGCACTTATTATGACGAGACAAAGTTGCCACAAAAAATATTTGCGGTGATAAATAAACTTTTTATAACAACAATTTAATATCACAAAAAAATTTTTTTGTTGTAGTGCACCCGGTGTGTGTATGTGTGTGTGTGGGTGTGTGTGTGTGTGTGAGAGAGAGAGAGAGAGAGTCAAATAGAAGATTTACCAACAACACCAATAAGATAATCCTTAGTTGAATGTTCTCCAATNACAAAAAATATTTGCGGTGATAAATAAACTTTTTATAACAACAATTTAATATCACAAAATTTTTTTTTTGTTGTAGTGCACCCGGTGTGTGTATGTGTGTGTGTGGGTGTGTGTGTGTGTGAGAGAGAGAGAGAGAGAGAGAGTCAAATAGAAGATTTACCAACAACACCAATAAGATAATCCTTAGTTGAATGTTCTCCAAACACATATTCCTTGACACATATTTATCAGTAATGTTACATTGACCAAATTTTAGGATTAAATAAAGAGTCTAAATGACATGTCAACATATTATTTGCATACTTATTATTCCTTGGAGAAAACATTCGCCGTTTACACTTAAAAACTTTCTTATATAATAAAACAACTTGGCATCACCAATAAACCAAATCATTTTTGGCGGAGATGGTAAGCTTCAATATCTTTGGTCATAACAAGATGAAAGTCCACCAATGCATTTGCATCTTCGACATCCTCATTAAGCTTCTCGTACTCAAAAGTCCATGTCACCACACTGCTTTTACCTTTTGTATCAACATCAACAGTTATAATCATGGTCTTGTAAAGATCCAAGAGGCTTCCTTCAACCAGCTTCCAAGTGATTGACTTCTTCTCGTCATCAACTGCTTCAACAATATCTCTCGTAACCTTCTTTTCCCCACCTATGGATGAAATCACACATCTCGTAACCTTGAGAGATGAAAGCAGACTTTACTTGTAAGTAAATTGATGAGTGGATTTTATATCTACGAATTGAGTATTTTTGATTTGATGAAATTGCAAGTTTTCAATTATTTTATGTTCTTTTTTAGTTATTTTGTGTGTTTTGATGTTATGGTGTAGGGATGATCATTTGGGAGAAAACAAGGTTAAATTGGAGCTTAAAGGTTGGATTGTTGAAGAGGAAGCATAAAGGGCATTTTAGGCCAAAAAGGGGGGGCGCGCCCCTGCGCCATCAAGGCAGTGCTTCAGCGCCCTTGCACCATTTTTGGCACAGCTGTGCTTGTGTTGGTTCGTGATGCGAATTTTGACTTGTTTATGACCCAAAATTTGACTCTAAAGCTACATATAAGTTAGGGTTTGAGTTGGGAAGAGATATTCTGATTTTGGGGGTTGATAACATTGGAAAAATCAAGGGATTGAAAGAAAATTGAAAACAAGAATCGAAGGAAGCAACACGAAGAAAATCAAAATCGAAGGCTAGAGAGAAAGTGAAGATTGCAACTAAGTTTTTATTCTTTTCTCTTACTTTTACTTCTTAATTTTTTGAGATGTTGTTTAATTTGAGAATGATGTTTTTCAATTACATTATGAGCTAAATCTTTATTAAGATTGCAACGGAATTTAATGTCTAGTTAAATTGATATACTCTCGTTTCTAGTTCTATTAATCATACATGAGTTGTTTGTCATATTTTGTGATTAATATATGATTGTATGACTAATAATTAATTTTATAACCTAGATGAAATTGGGAGATGAATTCTATGTTTAGATATGAATATGATGACATGCATCTGGTTTATTCTTTTTAGGATTGAATAGTTGGGTTTGTGTATAGGATAGAAATATACTTATATGCCGTGTGTAACTTTTATGAGAGTTTGAACTTAATGAATCTATTCCAACTTATTTTGCATAGGAATATAGTAATTTAATTGGAAGAGATAATTTTATCTAACTATCGGAAGAGGTTTGATAAATAACTTTGAGTTCTCAATTAACAACTTATTTTGATTAATTGACTGGAAAGAGAGTTTTAAAGATTTATACGAAGCATTTGAGGAAGTTGTAATCTTATATTTTTTTATCCGGTAAATTTAACCTTGATTGTTAAGTTTGTATTTAGTTTTAATTTAGTCATTTCATAGTTCAATTCTAATTGTTTAAATAAAATTGAATTGATATAAAGTTAGTACTTGGAAGTTATTAGCAATATTTCTCCGTGGGAACGATACTCTACTTATCACTTTATTACTTATTAATCGTGTATACTTGCACGTCAATTGTCAATATCAAATTCGGACAACATAAATCTAGAAAAAGAAGTGACTTACCAAAGGTATAGGACCAGATCATTCTAGATCCCACGGTTCCCCATTCACCTTCGTATATCTCAACACCTTGCAAATTACCAGGGCTCATATATGATATCTGGTTTGGTCTGTATCTCCAACTCTCATAGAACAAATGTCCATCGGACTTGATCTCCGTTTGCCCTATCACCTTACCGATAAGACCCATTTCTAACCCAACTATTATCAAACAATGCACAGCAGAAATAAAGTGGAGGCAAGTGGTGGATAAAAACACTTGGTCCTTTGGTCTCTATATAACTGACCCCTGACTGAGGATTACATCTTCCAACGTGTGAAACGTGGACGGTGAGATATCTCTATTATATCTTTTCGCTAATATTATACTGACCAAAATTTTAAATTAAATCAAAAGTTTAAATGATATGATATTTGACTTGGGCTTATTTATTTGATGTCATGTTATTTGTACCCCAATAAAAACTCTAAATAATATGTTGTCATGTCATTTGACTTCTTAATTTAGTCAAAAAAATTTGATTAACATAGCATTATTAATATTTTTTTCTCTATTTTTTTCCATAACAGGATATCTACATTCACATGTGAGCAAGAAAGAGAGAATGATTGAGATTGGATACCCACTATGGCACCATTATTGTCCTTGGGGTTCGGTGGCCCAAAGTATTACTACACATCACATGATTCATATGTTTTTGTATAGTTCCATGATAGGATTTATGGGACCACAAGTATAAGTCCATTTCAAAATTTATTTTGGGTGTTTAAGTTTATTTTTAATTCAAATGTTTAAACTACCCCCAATCGCCTTTTTTCCTCACAGGAGATATCGTTGCCAAAAACAATAATATTTAAAACCAAAAATAATAACATTTAAAACTAAAAATAGAAACATTCAACATAATAATAACACGAACAGAATGGTGACAAAAAAAAATAACATTTAAAATAAAAGACATGAACATTGAACGTATTAGAGATAAGTGAATATTATGTGATGTTACTAATTGATATTACTATGTATGTGCAATTTGATTGCATTCCTGGAGTCTTTCGTTAATTTTGTCAGCGAAGGTGTCTCAAATATGAATTTGAGATAAATTCATTGTTAAGTAGCATAAGTGATGATGGATAAGTCTTCGGAAACTATGCGTGTTGAGCTTGTTTTAAGTCTTCGGAAACTATGCGTGTTGTGCTTGTTTTTCTACGTAGAATAAATCTCCACCTGTTGTGATAGCTAAATCAATCCGAGTTACATGCCTTGATCTCTTTATTTCAGTCACCGTCTAATGCGGTGCCTTAATTTTTTCCTATTTCTTACAGTTACTTCCAATTTCAAATGGCAATAGAATGTTAAAATTAATTTTACTTCTACAATGGAGTTCAAGCATCATTTGATATGGGGTTTTTCTAGCTATATTTCTTCATGTTCTTCCAATCAGCCTTGCGAACATCAAAACACCTCCAGATCTCTGAATTATTTGATTAGGTTAGCAAAAACATTATACTAGCTTAGAATATCCACGAGTGTTGGTCACTAGTGCTTTGTGTGTGTGTGTGTGTGTGTGAGACAGAAAGGACTTACCAAGTCATTATTCACACGATATTATTGCGACCAAATTCACCGAACTTAATCAATTAGGTTTAAATAACAACATTTTTATTCATCTATAGAANTTGTGTGTGTGTGTGTGTGTGAGAGACAGAGAGGACTTACCAAGTCATTATTCACACGATATTATTGCGACCAAATTCACCGAACTTAATCAATTAGGTTTAAATAACAACATTTTTATTCATCTATAGAAAGATACACAGGCACCGCCAATAAGATATTCCTACATACTCATTTAGTACTTGGGAAAAAAAAATAATCCTTCACACAACTTTCACAAAGCCCATATTTCTTGGCCGATACACATTATTTGCAGCAGAAAATAGTCACACATAACACTTTCAAACATTCATATACCAGACAAGAACTTGGTATCGTCAATAAGCCATACATCTTAGAGAATGTCTATTGCTGGAGATGGTGAGCTTCAATGTCTTTGGTCATATTAATACACATGCCCATCAATGTATTGGGATCTTCGACATTCTCATTCAGCTTCTCATACTCGAAAGTCCATGTCACCACGTTGCTTTCACCCTGCGTATCAACATGAACAGTTGCAATGAAGGTCTTATAAAGTTCCATGAGATCTCCTTCAATAACCTTGAATGTGACTAGCTTCTTTTCTTCATCAATGGCTTCGATGATCTCCTTGGCAACTTTCTTTTTCCCGTCACATCTTCTTGGTATCACATGCACCAATTCAATCAAATAGAAAAAGTAACACTCTCAAAGTGAAATCCATGCTCTAACAACCTATCAAGTAATATATAGTTATCAATGGACCTTTGGTCTAATTTTACTCCTTATCTTATAAAAGTTTTATCATCTTAAGGTTAAGGGTTCAAGTCCCCCTCCCCCTCTCAAAAAAAAAAAAAAAGTAAAATATAGTTCAACCAAGAATCAACCTCTCCAAAGTCGGGTCAAGTTGTCTAAAACTTACTTCTCTCCAAAGTCGGGTCAACATTTTTATTCATGTAGGTATTTTCTCAATAAACATTATCTAATCATAAATAAATTTTCACACCTAGATCAGTCTCTCCACCATTGAGCACATGTTGGTCTAAAGTTAGAAAAATTAAGAATTTATTTTGCTCACCTACGACATATATGTATATTTACGTCAACAACTATCAATACTACTAATAAAAATATTTTAACATAAAAAATTTTTAATTCACTATTTTACTCTTATAAAAAATTACAAGGTCATTTCATCCTTCCATAATTAAATATCTAAATTATCATCATATCCTTATATATTAAAATCTCCAAATTGTCTCTATCATCTATTTTAGTGATCTATTTTTCATGTATAAATATCAGTTTCTATAAAAAAAATTTAATTGACTATATTACCCTAAAAAAATGTGTGCACCATTTAATTTTTTAATATAGTGTTCAAAAATTAACCCTTTTATTTTTAGGATAAAAAATAATCATATATATATTTTTGTAAGCAATTTATGTTATATCAGCATAGTTCTTTAGTTATAGAAAACTTTTCAAATTGTATTAAGATTTTGTGTGGAAATAGATTGTAAATGTTTTATAATATACATTATAAAGTAGTATATTAAATTTTATTCTAATATACCTGATTAATTTCTAATTATAATAAAATTGCAAATATGAATAGTATATTAATAATTATTTTTATTTCATTCATTGAATTATAAGTGGAATCATAATCCAATGAACTTCAAAAAAATTTATTTTTCAAACATCACTAGAATCCACTCTCAATTACAAAATTCTAAAAAATAGAACTCTAACTACTTTACAATTCTTATAATTAGAAAAACAACTAAGACTTTTTATTATTTTCGTGTATGAAAATTATTCCCATGCAATGCACATTACTGGTCTTAAAAAAAATAAGAATTGATTTTGCACAGCAACCATATATTGTGCAATCAATCCATAGAAATGCTGAAGAAGCAAANAAAAAAAAAAAAAAAAACAAAGAGTTGTGTGAGTTTCTAGTCAAAAAAAATAAAATAAAAAATATTTTTTATTTTTTCTGTGATAAAAAATAAAAATACAAAACATGTGTGATAGTTATTTATGTTTAATAAATAATAAAAACAAAAACAAAAAATATGTTTACTAATGGTTTCTTGGTTGACACAATTATTAGCTTTATATTATTAAACTGAATATTAGAAAAAGAAAACACAGATCCACACTAAATCACAATATACAACTCGGTTACACTGAAACTCGATGACAATATACTGTTCAATCAACTTGAAATTCAAACACACATAGATCTACACTTGCACACACCAACGCAGACACATAGATCCACACTTACACACCCAGACACAAACCCACACAATCGATCACACACAAACGCAAAATTAAGGAAAGAAGAGCAGATCTGAGCTTTAAAGGTTAAAAAAAAAAATTAATTGGTAAATAGTTTATTGTTGGATAACAGTTTTTTATCGGTGCTCTTTTTTATTGTAAGACACTTTTATAATAATTTTGAAATTAGCAACAGCAGCTCATACTGGAAATTAAATAGACTAACAGAAACAAATATTTTTATGAGTTGTGTTTTCCTTACCATGAACATATGTCCAGAGCTTAGCAGAACCCTCTGTCTTCCAGTCACCTTCATGTACTTCAACGTTGTGCAATTTTTCAGGGCACAAATTTGGCAGTTGGTGTGCCTTACCACCCCAGCTATGGAAAAACTCATCAGCATCACATTTTATCTCAACTTCAGCCTCAACTTTACCAGCAAGATTAGCCATTTTTTGTCTGAAAAATACGGTCGCAAGCCCACCAAGTACAACTCTCTCAATACATAAGAGAGGAGAGAGAAAGTGGTGAAAGACAATGCCAATTTCGAGTGTCACGTAAACTTATCGTGTCCAGAATAGTACGAAATATTAATTTTGGTTAATTGCAAGTTGTATTTTGAAAGGTAATTCGAATTTTAATTTAAACTTTTAAAAATAAAAAATTTAAATTTATACCCTCAAAAATAAAAAATTGTATCAATTTGCACCCTTAAATTTCAATTTGTACCCTCAAATTTTTTTTTTTAGGGTGTAAATTAAGATTTTTTATCTTTAGGGGTGTACATTGATATAAAATTTTATTTTTAAGTGTATAAATTGAGATTTTTTTATCTTTGGGGTGCACATTAATACAAATTTTTATCTTTGAAAGTATAAATTAAAATTTTTGATTTTTGAAGGTATAAATTGAGATTTAACTAACTTAAATACATAATTTTTAAGAGAATTGGTGTAAAATAAGGGAAGTCCATTTGGCCAGTGGCTTTGTTATTAATTTATATAACAGTTTTTTGGGACTCAAAAGAGCTTACTATTACGTAAAAAAAATTTAAAATTCATATTTTGGAAACTATTACACATAATCTATAATAGGAATGTCCATGACTAGGTTGTCTACGGATCCTATTACCTGACCCAAAAAAAATAGGTCTAAAACTCGATAGTTAGCCCGCCCAAACCCGATCCTAATATCTTTCAAGAGAGGGCTTGAGCTTACCCTTTCATCGAATTGTTTGAAAGAAATTAACTATTGAAGTTTTGATAATTTGGTAGTAATATATAACTCTCCTTTTTTTAAATAAAATTATTTATTATTTACATTCATTTTGGCTCTATTTCTAATGGAAATATACAATTTAAAAAAATATTAAGTTGAAAGTTTTTAAATAAAATTGTATATAGATTAAAAAAAAAGGTCTGCTAATTGAGTGGCGGGTTGAATTGTTGCTAGTCTATCTCTACTTGAAGCCCTGTCTAGCCAGTCAAATAACTGGCCCGAATAAGGGTTTGAGCCTACGTTACCAAGCCCAACAAAAATAAAATCCGCTAGCCTAGCCCGTCCCGGCCCATGGACACTCCTAATCTATATATACATAATTTTTTTTTAATATTTTGATATGAAAAAAGGCAAAAAAATTAAAAAGTCACTTCAATTGAACTTTTCCAACTTTTCAACTTATTAAGTAACACTTTAAACCATTTGGGGGGACTTTTTTAACTCTAACTTCTTTGCGGTATTTTTTAAACCGTAACTTTTCACTTAAAATTTACTCAGACTAAATTTTTTAGTTAGACCAAATATAGGGTTGTTAATCCGTGCCTATAAATAAGTCGTAACTGTATTAAGATTCTAATAAATGAAACCACCATTCTTGTAGACTTTTCACTTAAAATTTACTCAGACTAATTATTTTAATTTCATTCATTGAATTATAAGTGGAATCATAAACCAATGAATTTTAAAAAATTTTATTTTTCAAACATCACTAGAATCCACACTCAATTACAAAATTCTAAAAAATAGAACTCTAACTACTTTACAATTCTTATAATTAGAAAAACAACTAAGACTTTCTATTATTTTCGTGTATGAAAATTATTCACATGCAATGCACATTAGTAGTCTAAAAAAAAATAAGAATTGATTTTGCACACCAACCATATATTGTGCAATCAATCCATAGAAATGCTGAAGAAGCAAACACAAGGGTTTGCCCTATGGCCCACAGTGCTGGGGTTGTGGGTGGTATCTATTTGATAGTGTCATTCCAATAATTGTCTTCCAGATTTTTTTTTTTTGTTTAAATTTTGGGGGGCAATGATTGGAAAGGCCAATAATCAACACTATTAATAATTGTCCTCGAGATGAGAGTCATAGATATGCATATCTTGAGATTGAAAATTTTTTGTCATTGATATGAAAGTTGTCGAGTAGCATAGGCACGTGGAATTACACGTGAAGCAGCGAGGATTACCTTACAAATGCTAAATTCTCTGTGGTGGCTTATAGTGAAGTAGTACCGCAAGAGAATGGTAATAAAAACCTTCATCAGAAAGTGAAAAAGAAAATGAAATTGTAAGCTCTTAGAACAATGGAAGGAAGAGCAATGTTATTGAGACCTAAAAGTTTGATTTAATTTATTAATCTAATTTATTGTGATCTTTGCATTGACTGTAAACTCCATCAAATATTAGAATTTAGTGGTGATCTAATGATTCCTATTCAGCCACATCATTGTGTCAGCAAATTAAATCAAATTTTTAGATTCAAATAATGTTTATCTGTAAGGAGTTATCTTCACTTCAATATTATATGTTACATACAAACTGCCAGCAGTATACAATTTATGAAGAATTCCTATTGAACCATGCAATTCTCGTATTTATTATTTGTTATTGTTCTCTTTTTTTTCTTGATTATTCACTGCACTACAAATTCACAATGGATTCCATTGATAACTCGTGGATCATGAAATAATTAGATTATTGATTCAATATATATAAGTAGATCCCTTACTTATACATAGAGGATGATTTGCATTAAGAAAACTGAAAGAGTACATTGAAAAATATCAAAATCCTTGTTTTTCATGCTTTGAGAAGTAAGCGTCCACCTCCTTACAACCATTTAATAGAAAGTCAAGATGAGAGTGTGGAGTTGGGATATCCTCACTTGCTTTCTCATATTCCAGAGTCCATTTTGCTACGTTCATACCATCCTTTGAAATAGCCTCGAGTGTGGCTTTGAAGCTCCTTGAAATACTTTGTAACCTCTCCACCGATGAGCCCAAATGTGATTGACTTGTTTTTCTCATCTACAGCCTCTATTTTGTCCTCTGCTATAACAGTAGTACCTAGGTTTATTTTTATCAAAAGCCAGCGAGGGTTGTTAAGCTAAGGAAGTTGGAAACCCCATGATAGCAAATGAAAATCAATTTCATATTGGAAAAAACCAAAAGAAACAAAATAGGATGGATGGTTTCATATAAAAAGATTAGACTATTCGATCTAGGGTTTAAGCTTTTGGACCAAGTTTGAGTTTAACTATTTATGAGTCATGATCTTATCAGTAATATCAGAACCCAAAACAACTTGATGTCAAGAAGACATAACAAGTATCCCATCCTCATAAAAATTAAAAAAGAAAGGGTCTAAATTTTATATCTGGTACATGTGGTATAAGAGCCTATATATACAAAAACTTTTCTAAAAGAAATGGAGAAAGAAATGTTGTTGGGCTAACTAATTGGCATGCAACGTGGAAGGATCAACCCAAATCTAACCCTACTCCAATACATATTTTATAGTACTTTACATAATATATGTATATATCAAAAGACATATAACAAATAAGATACATTTCAACATAAATAATTAACTTTTCATATATTTTTCTTCCGATTTTGGTGAGTTGGAAGGAAAATTCATTCATCTACTTTTTCATCTTTCTTATTTTCGTTCCTTACCAATATAATGTTTTATCTATCCCTCTAACTTTTCATCATTCAATTTTTTTATCATATTAATTGGAGCATAAATATTTGGTCAGTAAACATTATCTAATCAAAAATAAATTTTTACACCTAGATGAGTCTCATCCATCATTGAGCACATGTTGGTCTAAAGTTAGAAAAAATAAGAAATTATTTTGCTCACCTACCACATGTATCTAGAAAAAATAAGAATTGATTTTGCACACCTACCATGCATTGTGCAATCAATCAATAGAAATGCTGAAGAAGGAAGCACAAGGGTTTTTTTTCACGAAGAACACCATGTCCATGCCCCACAACTAGAACACCATGTCCATGATATCTATTTGATAGTGTCATTTAATGGGCCCTTCCATTAATTGTCCTCGCTATAAGAGCCATTGATATGCATATTTTGAGATTGGAAAATTTTCATCATTGATATGAAAGTTGTCGTGTAGCATGGGCATTTGGAATCGCATGTAAAGCAGCAAGAGTTACTTTACAGATGCTAAGTACTCTTGGGTGACTTATAGGGAATCAGTCGCGAGAGAATGGTGAAAATAACCCTCAACGGAAAGTGAAATAGAAAATAAAACTGTAAGTTCCCAACAAGCAGCGGAAAGAATCCCGAACTCTGACCCCCGTGCCCTACCGAAGAATGAACCTACAACTCATAGGCAATTTTTTCTGTACCATAACTTTTAACAAATTTTAGATCTCGAATAATGTGGTGTATTAATAGTTATTGGATAATTAATGAGATTTTGTGGGACTTGTTGATCATATGATTCACATTAATTGAGATCCAAAATTTGATTAAAAATCTGGTAAATATAGCATTGTTAATGAAACTTTTTTTCTTTTAATTTTTTACTTTTTTAAAGGTCCGATAAGAGCCTAAATCAATATAATAAAACATATAGCAATTTAAATTTTTATCCCCTAAAAATATCACATCACTCATTTTTATCACATATTCAATCATTTAATATTTAATTGATTTGTAGTTTAATATAGTTTTTATTTCAAACATTATCCAATAGTATACATATGTTGAAAAAATTTAATATAGTGAGATCGATTTTTTAGATGCTTGAATTTTATGTTTTATAGTGCCTTCAGGTACGGATTAGAACTATTTCTCCATAAGAGATAATTCAAGAGCACTTTATTCAAACATGTTCATTGGAGCACTTTATCGTTATTCTTTCATACAGATTTTATTAATCAACACATAAAAATAAACAATAAAAATTGCATAAATTATTTTTATTTGCTATGCAAGTTAGGTTCAAATAGAATTATTTGGAATTAATTAGTTGTTCTATTAATTGAAATTGGTCTTGGGTTTTTTCCAAGACCGGCTCAACCCACAAAGCAGCTAAGGTGGCTGGGGTCCATTTTAATTGCACAATAATATTCTTCTTCTTCACTTTGTTTGGTAAGTTTATGGCATCGAAGAAGATATCATACTGA